GGGAAAGGAAACTATTGCATTTGTCAGGAATTCTGCTGCTCACAGATAAGGCCGCGGTTGCTAATTTTAAGTAGAAAAGCAGGAAATGTGACAGTAAGGCTTCCTTTTTCACAAACAAAAAACACACCAGACTGTCTTGTGGAAAGGTTTTGTGTTGTCGAGCTCAGTAATACATGAATAGGCAATAGGCTAGTCTACATGTGAATTGCACCTCTCTTTGTCCTTTTACTTTTCTGGGTGTTATGGCTGGAAATGACACTGAATTCAATCTCTTTGCAAACACAGATTCCCGTTTCATAGGTAAGATTTTTATTTGAATTATCATTACCATTGTTCTTGTTGGTTATCTTCGTAGAACTTCGTTAGTGTACGGTTTCTTCGGTGTTCTTTATGAGCAAAACCTTTGTGATCTGAGACAATAAAAAACTCCATTAAAACTGTAAATTTTAGAGTATATAGAATATTTGTGAAACCTTAGTAACCCATTTTATAATATAAGTAATATATAAAATCTATTAATGAATTCAACATAACTAGTTATAACAGACTTTCATTAAAAAATCAATTACATTTAATAAAAATTTAGATTGGATTGTTCTAAAATTCATCATAAGGATTTTGAAAATTGTAACATGTTATGTTTTAAATTATTTGTTCCTTTGAATTGTTCAGCCTTGCGTTTGTGAATTTCTCAGCAAAAACTAAGAAGGTTTACTTACATTTTGTTTTTTTGTAAATTGGGTTCCTTAAGAGTCTGTTTGGCAGAAGTAAAAATTAACAACATTCATTTTTGTCCAACAACTCATATTTATTTATTCATGTATGTTTTTAAAAAAGTCTTGTTAATCTCAATCTCGAGAATAAATAGGTACAATGCAGTGCTTTGTATTCGACAAAATCTTCCACTAGATCTGTTGTACCACACAGTGCCATCTTGTCTATGTTGATAACACACCCTGCCTCAGATACTGTAGTTGAAGTTACCACTAAGAAAGAATTCAATTTTTATCATGAGAATATTTACTTTGCCAATGCTGAGCAAGTTTCTTTTACTTAAAGAAATTGAATGTAATCTTCCTGTCGCACTCCTGTTATAATAATACACTTAAATACATCTGTGGGTGTATGCTAAGTCTAAGTACTGTAGGCATTTTTTCAAGCAGTGTGCTCTTGTCGCAGGATAAATGGAAAAATATAGTATATAGTAATGTGCTATGTGCAGTAAAAAGTGAAGTTATATACAGTGCATGGAAAATGTTTCAGACAGTTCTGAAGGTGTTTTTTGTATGGGGACACAAAATCTGTGAAAATGCTATTTTTTATAGTAATAAGCCTGAGAGAAATGTCTTTTATGTAGACATTTAGGCATTAATAAAAGATTTTACAAAACCATTGAGAGAAAGAATATTTATAATCTAGATATTACAGGATGGCGTAGCTGATAATAAGAGCAATAAAACAAATTGCGGAGAGCATTTGGAATCAAATGTACCTTATATCCTATTTGTCCTGGGACAGTTCCATATTTTATGGTTTGTCTCATGGGTTCCATCATTTTTGCAAAATCCCATATTTCAGAAAAGCGAAAGGGCCTCCTCCCAGACAATCAAAAAAGATGCCAAATGGAAACGCCTACAAACCCTCAGCAGGAAAGTGAAAAAAGACGGGAAGGAAACAACACATTCAATGTTTTATTACATGGATTTCTACTGTTTCTATTTACCGTGTCGTCAAAGGTCGTAGACTATTCTGAATTTATTCCACTGCAATAGTGAATGCTTTGTGTGACACTGTTTCCCTATTTTTCAGACTGAATCTTGCACCTTAATTTGCTTTGGGCCCTGTCTTCTTTTCCGTTTATTGTACTGTACTGTATATGTGAATCTTAATATTATTACATACTGTCAAATTAAATGTCTTCTTTTGAACTGATAATTGTCATTGACATAAAATCATAAGAAAGGTTACAAACAAGAATTAGTTATCTAATCATTAGGTTCATTTGGCATTTTGCTTATTACCCAATGAGACATTTGTAAAATAGCATAAAATATGTTATATATATATGACAGATATCATTGATTAATTCTGTTCTGGACTGGAAGTTTAGTTTAAGCTACTTAAACTTAGCTTTTAGCATTTTATTGCATCCATTTTTAACATCATCTAAGCAGTACAGCAAAGCATAGTCTTTGATTGAAAGTTGCATGTAAATATGTAAATCAAGTCTCATGCAAATGTTGTCAACAAACAAAGGCTATAACTATGAAGATGAACACATGATAACAAACAGAAACTAAAACGAATCTCAAACTACGAATAGAGTCCTGCTGGCTGCTAGATGTGACCCACTTTGTTAAGAATAAACAATGACCAGCGTTTTTTCATCAGTTAAATAAGATTTAAATCACAAGAAAGCATTTTTTGTGGCCCCACTTTACTCTATTCATTAAGATGGTGTATGATCCACAGTATCAAAGGCAAAGGCAAAACTGAGGTCTTACTAATGAAGAAAAGGTAAAAAGATCACTAACTAACAGTATCAAAGTCTGTTTCTGTACCTTACATTGACCTGAACTCAGAATGAAATGGCTCAGAGATCTTATTGGAAAATAACTAAGCTTGTAACTAAGCTGCAACAACCTACTTTAGAACCTTTGCCAAAAAAAGTAAGTTAAATATTGGCCAATAAGTACTGAGCAGGCTGGCGCCAAAGTTCTATTTTTAACAAATGGATAATAACTACATAATAAATAATTCACTGATGATTATTATTTATGATATTGGGGTTGAAAATTATAAAGTTTGAAACAAGACAATGGAAAGACAGTGCGCCTACAAGGAACATGTGAGGGGATTAATTTTACCAGTCATGCTGTATCTGGTGAGAATTAATTGTATGAATACCTGAAGCACTAAGCTTTTGAGTAGGTAAATTGTTCTCCGATTTAGAATCTTCAGACAAAATCTGCATAAAAATCAGTCAATCAGACCATATGTTCTTTAAAGGCTGGAGTTCCCAAAAAATAGATGAGAAAATAGCTCTTTAACTCAGGCAACCACACCAGCAATGGAAAAATCTACAGATACAACCACATTTAGCTATAGACTTTCACTGAACTACTAGTTAGTCAGTCTCATATGAAAGGGGAATTAGTACTCCATTGGTGTCCCAAACCCACTCAGCAGGTGTCAAATGCAAGAACACAATAATCCAAAAGACACTGCATGTAGATGTCACTGTACACAGAACAGGGACATCATGTACTACTGTACCTACAAATGAGCAGCAATGTACAACAACTATGAACAATCCTCAGTCCCAGTGTGCTAAGCAACAGGCCTTTTTGATTTTTCACATCATGACAATTCTGAGTGCAGTGAAACAGATGATGGTGCTGCACTTCTCCCATACAAACTATCTACTGTACCTTACCAACAGACAGCAATGAGCTGCTTCTATGCTGTTACGTGTAGGTGACTGATTCTGGGAGGCTGCCCTGCACAGCCCCAGACCAATCTTGTTACAGTATTGTATCGCCAGTGGTGCAATAGCTAATGCCACTTGGTGCAGCTCAGCCTGAGCCTGCATGTCCTGTGGGCACTCAGTGCAGTGGATGAAGTCAGCATCATGTAAACTGAAAGACTACAAAAACCAAAATGATCCTGCAGCTAGGATCACACCTTCCCCTTTCGCTTAACTACAGACTAATTTTCTTCTAAATTCTCTCTATTCATTGAAGGTTTCATTTCACACCTCTCTACACCTATTCTGACTTCACACCTCTTGATTGGTCTCTCTTTCTGTCCCCTGCTCCTGCCTCTCGCTCCTCCTCTCTCCCAGCTTTTGTTCTCCCACTACATTACCTTTGCTTACTGCCTTGTCTTTCCCACATCTGAAGAAGGCTTCATGGCCAAAACATTGTGTTTTCTTTCTCCCTTTTTTTCAGCATGGAATAAACCTATTACTTGTAACATGTAAACTGGTGTGATGTAAAACCTGTGGGACTGGTAACCACTACGTAAGGAGCTTATTGCTGTAATTCCGATTATTGTGACTGAAGTAAAGGTAGTGGACAAATAAATGGAAACACCTATCTAAAGTCAGTTAGCAAGGCTTTGAGAAGTCTCTAGGTACTGGGGAATAGAGCCAGCCTGGAATTCTGCAAGATGAGGTGATGCCTGATGGAGATGCAAAATGTCTCAGTCATCATTCCAGAATATTCCATAAATGCCTACATAAATGCTCACTTGGGTTCAGACCTGGTGACTGAGAAGGCCTTGATATATTGATAACATTAGTGTCACATGGTTGTGATGACACATACTCTTTGAATGAGGGTAGTGTCATCTTGGAGGACATCCCTCCCAACAGGAAAGAAATGCTGCAATATGGAGTGCAGATGGTCGTTCATCACCACTTAGTAGTCATTTGCATTGGTACTGCCTTCCAAGGAAATGAGTGCATGCAAATCATGCCAGGAAAATGTACCCCATAACATTAAAGAACCACCCGGACCCTTGACTGTTGGGAGTTCAGGTCTTTAGAGTTCTTTAGGTTTTTAGCACATGTGGATTTACCCATTTGTTGAGAACATAGTTACTTTATTGTCCACTACTGTGTACATTTGTCTTTGGCTTCTCCCATAAAAGAACAAAATACACAAGCAAAACATAAAGGTCACATAAAATCACATGAAGTACATGAAAGTACATGGTGAAGAATGATTCACCTGATCCTATCACGTTACGCAACTGCTTTTTGCACTGCTGCCTAGCTATAGTATCTGACTATGTAGAGTACTTGGTGGAACCTTTTTGATTGAACTGGGTGCTTGTGCCCCAGTTTAAAATGTGTAATCAGTTAATCCGAAGGTGCTCACCTGTTTTCCTTGAACTTCAGATGTATGCACATTTATCATGATTCTTTAATGCGCACCTCCCTCCTATCCCTCCTATCCCCTTCCATGCTGACATCCCCTGTGTTTTGTTTAGATCTTGTGAAAAATCAACAATCTGTGTTATGTTGCTGAAGCTCTTTACAAACTGCCCCAATAATCACCCCTCTTTCAGAGTCACTGAGGTCTCCTCTTGCAATCATGCTGCCCATAATGGTAGGTACCCAGGCCTGTCCACCATTTTATTACATGACTCTATGCTTGTTTCTTTGACAAGTTAAAGCATAGGTCACACCTTTGTGGAAGGCCTTTCAATATACTTGGTGTCCCTCATTTACTCAAGGGATTCCATTTTTTGTCCACCACCTGTACGTGCCAGCTCATGTCTTTCTTGTCTGTCTGCACCTCCTGTTTACGTCCTGTGCTCCTGGGTGTGGGGCTGCGGTCCAGTTGAAGAGTTTTATGTTCCTTCCTGTATTGTGTGAGTCGAAGCCATAAAGATTTGTTGCCTTATAAACAGCAATAAGTCTATTTCCCAGTATGCTCATGACCAGAGTCATATTTTGTGGCTTAATCATCATTACTAATTTTTTTAATGAAAAATACTTATAAAAAATATCCCATTCACAATTATTTGTAATATACAGACAGTTTTTTGAGGATACTTCTTTGACTTTTATACAGTGGTGTGAAAAAGTGTTTGCCCCCTTCCTGATTTCTTATTTTTTTGCATGTTTTTCACACTGAAATGTTTCAGATCATCAAACAAATTGAAATATTAGACAAAGATAACACAAGTTAACACAAAATGCAGTTTTTAAATGAAGGTTTTTATTATTAAGGAATAACTGGCAATGAGTCTTTTACAGTGCTGTGGAGGAATTTTGGCCCACTCATCTTTGCAGAATTGTTGTAATTCAGCC